AATGTGGCGTGCCGCCAAAATGTCGGAATGGTTGAGGAGATCGGAGTTGATTTCCTAGGCAACTAGCGACGTTCCTGCTAAAACTCTACGATCGGAACGGTCCCATTGCTATGTAACGGCTAGTAATATAACAGTGGAGTTTCCACAGTTACAAGAGAAGGCATAATTCATTGGAAACGGATTCCCACGTTCGTTGCAATAACTGCGGGCGGAAACCAAAGCCTCCTACATGGTGCGCTCTATTCAATCGGAGTACACGTTATAAGAATCCAGCTTCTTCCAAGAAGACCACTGGTACATCTGACACATTTATTCAATCACTGCCTTTGGCTGTCCCATTTTCCAAAGCCTTGGAAGGAAGCAAAGGTTATAACGTTACCGAAACCCAGTAAGGACCCAAAATTTCCTGAAAATTTACGCCCGATTAGCCTCTTGTCTACAGCAGGCAAGCTATTCGAAAACGTTTTTTTGAAATAGTCCAAATGCAAATTGAAGAAAAAGGCCTGATTAATGCAAGCTAGTTTGGTTCCCGTGCCCTTCATAGCACGACATTTCATTGTGTGAGGCTTACGGACCATGTAACCTTAAATTTCAACAATAACATGTCTACGGCTGCTATATTCTTGGATATTGAAAAAGCCTACGTAAAACATGGCACATTGGCTTGCTATATAAATTATCCGCATTACAATTTTCGATAAGTTTAATCAAGCTTATTAGCTCTTTCCTTTCTCGGAGAAAATTCAGAGTTTAAATCGAAGGTGAAATATCTACACCAAGGGAAATACAAGCAGGAGTGCCACAAGGATCTGTTGCACACGACTTTCTACATTCTGTATGTATACGATTATATAACAAAATTGTGCAGGCGACAAGCATAAGCCATACAAAATCATGATACTGAACATGTTCGCGGTATAGAACAAGGTGAAGCCAGACACAGAAAATATAAGAGGTTTAAACTTGGCTGTGGTCGAGCTTACGGCCGTTCAAGCGTCTAAGCCGCCGTTGTAGCATAGATCTGTAAGTTAGGCATGATCTGCTCTGTAAAGCTTGTACCGACAGAGGACTTGTGTCAGTTCTTAGTGTAGCTCCGACTGGAGCAGAAGCAAGCTCGCATCCGACAAAGGGATCGAGGCACTTCACCGAGATCAGCGGTGAAAGTAGTAACTGTAATAGTAAAGTTGTGAATGATTGTACTTCCGAATCTAATAAAACAATTCGCCAAATCCGAGACCCCCGTGAATTTACTTACATAGGCAACAGGCGACAGTATTTTGATAGGCATAAGACAGCATCCAGTAGAATTGATGTTTGAACGTTAACAGATTCTGATACTGAAACAGTTAGGGATAACCTGGAGGTGAGCAAACAAAGTAGGGATTTCATACGAAGATGCTCAAATTCATGGAATTAGTCAAGCTAGAGTGTAAATAGCGGTATCGGGTTGATAACTCAAAAATTTCCTCAGCTTTGAAAACTATCACAAAAATCTGGCTATTAATATTGCTTGGGGAACAACCAGAAAGATTATCAAAATTTCAATCAAGTGAACCTGGGTTATTATAAATTAAGGAAACATCACCCATTTTTCGACAAAAAATGCTGGCAATATCATCACTAGTATTCAGTGATGTTCTATCCCAAACTGCAAACACCACTGATGTGCCGCAGCTCTTTCAATGAAGAGGACGGCTACGTCAGTGGGTGGGTAGGAGCATGGATAATCCTCGGGTACGGCGTACCTGAGCTACCTCCAGATCATAGGTGAGTGGTCTGCTCCATGATCTAGTTAGCTACTTCTGTCCACATATAGCCGGTTGACCCCTCAAAGTGGCCAGTATTGACTGGATGAACTACACGCTCCGGTAGCCACGTCCGTTTCCCCGCTCGCTTCAATATCTGAACAACCATCACCGCGTGGGTAATGTGGGAGCCGACCACAAAGCTAGCCAATCAGCGCGGATCACAGCAGCGCCAACACCATTTGGGTCGGGCGCCGCTAGCAACAGCGATAAAAGAAGCGGACCGGCTACACGGCATTCAATCGTAATTCCTTTTACCTCGAGCCAGCTCGTCTGGAGGGTACACAGCAAGAGCAAGTCTCCTAGCAGCAGCTCCGTCAGTCAACTCCGAGAACTTTCGCATAGAAATATTGGGAAGTCCGGCGCTAGGGCTTATCGTCCTATGGCCGGCTCGCAGTCACCCGGCTACCAGCGCAAGGAAAACAAACTACCTAGCACAAGCGCGTTCCTGGATGCCGAGACTAGCCGGCATTCATCAGGCGAACCCCCCTTCTCAGCGCGCCACAGTACGTCATCATTTACCGCACAATCTGCTTGCCTGCTCGTCTGTATACTCTTCTTCTTATACTTGTTGTCTCTCCGAGTACTTAGACCGATCTTGTCTATGCCTAATAGTTTAGACATACCATGTGTCGGGAAACAGGACATCGAGAAGTGTATTCTTGAGACGTCACTTCATTACTCAACCCCGTAAATTCAATTCAACGTAAGTATAATACAAAATGTTGAACAAGTCGTTTCACAGTCGCTCCTTTCGTATTAAGAACTCTCACTGTACTGTCGAATAGTCTGTCTCTCCGTGCTGGCTAACCACTTGCTTCTGTCTGCACCAATGCCACAGCCGATATACAGGATGATTCACAAAGTTTTACCGCCACTTAGGGAGGACATTCCTGAGGTAATTTGGAACAAAAAATGTTAATATACTAATGGTATCCAACTCATAATTAAAGAGATACAGTAATTTGAAAACTGGCGAAAAATCTTTTTTCTTCGAATTTCAATCAAAGCAAATTAGAAATACAATATAAATACTTTTCAAATCGTTAATATATTAGGAAAGAAGCATTCTAAAACCATTTTTTTTTAATTTCTTAATTTTGCATTGTGCAACATTTTTCATCGATTTTATGTTACAAAATTACATTATTTTCAGCATCCCATTCTTAAACATACCAATGGTTGTATATCACACCCTTCTATCAATCTGTTTCCTTTAAACTGTAGTGCTTTAGAAGATGACTGGATTTATATAAGATTTTCAAAAATTTCTCCCTGCACGTCAACACAACGCGTCGCAAGCATATGAACCGCGCTCGTAGCATTTCGCAGTTCCACACGTTTGTTCCTTATTGTCATCGCCGAGTCCAGAATACGTTCAAGTAACGCTTCACGTGTTTGTACCTTTACCTGGCACACAATATCCTTCATCGAACCCCAAATGTAATAAAATAAAAGGCCCGATTAGCTAATCACACAGAACACCACACCAGACATTGACACTGAATCGGTGTTGAAAATTCGATTCTATCGTGGCACGGGGATTATTGTCTGCCCAAACATGTAAGTTGTGACTGTTCTTGACTCCGTTCCATGTAAACTGTGCCTCATCGCAGAACATTATCAAGCGGTACAACTGCCGATTTCCATTTAACCAGTTGCAGAACTGCAGACGAAGAGCACGGTCTCCTGGTTGTACGAGTAGGTGTTGTACTTGCTGTAAATGATAAGGATGCAGCCCGTTCTCATGAAGAGTCCTCCACGCCATGGACTGAGAGACGCCGAACTGCCGAGCTAGACGTCTTGTAATGGCACGCGGACTGCGCTCTACAGCATCGAGAATGTTTATTTCTTCGCACAATTCATGTTGAGGATTTCGTTCGTATTGTATACGAACGCTGGGGAGAGAACCAGTTTGTCTTAATGTGTTGAATGTACTGCTAATGGATTTAGGATTCGGAATCCTGCGAATAGGATAACGCCGGTGATATTCGGCAGCAGCGGCTCTCGCATTTCCATCACATACACCCAAAACAAACACCATATCGGAATATTCCTCAGTGGAAAATGTGTACAGCATCTGACCTTCACAGTCACCAAAATAAAGTCCTATTTACGGCTGGAACGCTCTGCCTACCTACGTGCAACATTCCAGCCGTCCTGCGTTATCTGCTGACACAGGTGACTGGAACGCATGGTGGCGCCCATTCAGGGGCGGGGGCATGGCGCTGCATTTACAACGATGCGTTTCGAAAATCCGTTGTTACTCATTAATAATTGAAACCAGACCACAAGTTTATATGGAAATTTTTCAGGAAATAAGCCCAGGAATACGTAACGTAATCCAGGGTAAAACTTCGTGAATCACCCTGCATATCGGACAAGTGGGGCCTGTTGCCTAGCAGCAGCGTCGTCCGCTGTTACATCACACGGGGGAAGTGTTTACTGTCTCGTCATCTAGCAGACATTATCTGCAGTTGCGTCACAGCGGGGAAGTTTTTACTGGCCTGTTGACCCTAGCAGCAGCAGCGGCTCCTATTCTGTTACGTCACCTCGAGGAAGGGTGTTATTGCGTCACGCTGAGTGCACGATCCCCAACACCATGACACACTTGGATGTTGCATCAATCTATATCTATAAGAATTTTCGACCACGTTAATTTCTACTGGCTCACACCTCGGATACTGTAAATTGACAGTCACGCTTTAAGCAGAACATCTAAGACAAGAGAAATGCACCATGGGTGACACAAGGTTCAATCCCGTCTCTTAGGTGTATGGCTTTCATCCATATTATAGCACCAAAACCCACAAGGTCCGTAAAGCCTTTATCTTTGACATCGGTACAGTATCTGTGCGACAGACCACAAGGATCGTCATGTCCTCGGAGAACTACAATGAGGCCTTGGTTCAGTGGAGAAGTGGTGCAAGTGCTCGAAGATTAATATCACTGTAAATCAGATGTGAGCACGGTATCTATTTCATTACATTTAACCGACTGCAATTTTTCTTATATTGAAGGGACGGAATATACAATATTTATAACAAGAAGAGCATTAGAGCTTGATCTTTAATTCATAATAATATGGACATTAGCAAGTTCAGATGCATTGACCTTGATATACACTGACACCAATATTCTGACGTTTTTCAGGGAACCCATTCGCCAAGAAAGTGTGGAAGTGTCTTCATATTGATGACTATTCTCCTGTCCGGGTGTACCGCACGACCTGAAGAATACGACTTCATCATCGTGGGCGGTGGGACAGCGGGGTGCCTACTGGCTGACCGACTGTCCGAAGTCAGCGAGTGGAGTGTGCTCCTGATAGAAGCAGGTGAAGACGAGAACATTATACAGGATATCCCGGCAATAGCTTCAGTGTTCTCCTTGACACCGGCAAACTGGGGTTACAAGACAGAGAAGTCCTCCACAGCGTGTCTCGGCCTGATAGACGGCCGGTGTAACTGGATACGTGGCAAAGTCCTAGGTGGCACTAGTGTTCTCAATTACATGGTGTACACCAGAGGCAACCGAAAGGATTACGACGGTTGGAAGACACAAGGATGTGAAGGTTGGGGATATGACGACGTCTTACCATATTTCCTCCGGTCTGAAAACATGCGCATTCCCACGTTGGCTAACGACAAGAAATATCACTCCACGGAGGGACAGCTGTTTATCACCCGGCCACCATATCACACTCAGATTGCTTCCGACTTCGTTGAAGCAGGTCCTCAAGCTGGCTACCAAGACATTGACTACAATGCCGCAACTCAAATAGGTTTCTCCTTCCTGCAGGCAACCATGAAGAACGGAGAGCGGATGAGTTCGAATCGTGCGTTCTTGAAACCTGCAAGACAGAGGAAGAACCTGCACGTTGTCAACAGGAGCCTCGTCACCAAAATCCTTATTGACCCGCAAAATAAAACGGCTTACGGTGTAGAATATAAATATCTTGGGATATTTAAGACGGAAGCTGTTGCCAGGAAGGAAGTGATTCTGTCTGCAGGAGCCATAAACTCTCCACAGCTTTTAATGCTGTCAGGGATCGGCCCTAAAGAACATCTTCAGAAAGTGGGGGTTCCTGTGATACAGGACCTAAGAGTTGGCTTCAACCTACAGGATCACATTTCACTTGGAACTCTTTTCTTCACTGCAAACTCCTCGGTCACTGCGAGATTTGACAATATTCCTGGTGATGCTGTCAGTCTTCTTCAATACCTCTTCACCAGGAATGGGACACTTACAATGCCAGGAGCCATTGAAGCACTAGCCTTCCTGGATATAGATGACAGCGACGGTCTTCCAGAGATAGAATTAATTTTTGCAGGAACTACTGTGGCATCACTTTTGCCTGTTTGGTTTGCCTGGGGCGGAAAACTTGAAATATATGCCCCTTACATGTCTTTAGCAATTCAAAATGCTTTCAGCATATTTCCCATTCTTCTGCACCCTAAGAGTCGCGGCTGGTTGACCCTCAAGGACAAAAACCCCGAAACGAAACCTCTTTTGTACCACAATTATCTGACTGAAAAGCAGGATGTGGAAATCCTCGTAAAGGGAATCAAACGAGCTATCCAACTAATCGACACCGAAGCCTTTCAGAGGCATGGTGTAAAACTGTACACGGTGCCGCTACCCCCGTGCAAGAGTCACGAGTTCGGCTCTGATGCATACTGGGAATGTTCGATAAGATACATGACGTTCACCGTGTGGCACCAATGTGGAACATGCAAAATGGGCCCTGACTCCGACCCCGATGCCGTCGTGGATCCTCAGTTAAAGGTGCGAGGAATTCGGCACCTCCGCGTCGTGGACACTTCCATCATACCCGTCATTCCGGCGGCTCACTTGACTGCTCCAGCTTACATGATTGCTGAAAAAGCAGCTGATATGATCAAGCAGGAATGGAAGGCTAACGCATGAATTCCAAATACTGACAGTTCAGCGAGGAAGGCAACTAAATAATATTCTGAAAATGAAGATGTTTTCCTACGTTTGTGAACAAGTATTGCCGGTGATGGAGATATTGAGCTGTGCTACAATTTTGGAAATCCTTCCCTTGTTGATGCTGCTGACTTTGTGAAGAAACCTCACCGAATTTATTCGCAGTAAAGACATGAAACTTAGCTTTCAAGTTTTTTTTTTTTCATCGTTGATAAATATCATTATTTCGACCATTCTTGGTAAGGTGAATTAAACAAGCATAATTTTTTTGTAACTTACGTTTGGTGTGGGACTTGCAATGAACACTTTGCTCTTTTCTGTAAATGCACCAAGTCATAATGCAATACCTCAGGTTGCCTACATAACACTTGCTTCATCAACACACAAATATCAGACATGGAACTTCGTATCTAGTTCTGTCAAATATCTGTGGCTCCTGATACAGTAACAAATCTAAGAATGTACAATATTTGTCTGCAATTTCTTCACTTTTGGTTCATGTAACAGATGCTCCTACTTCATCTTCCCGTCGCTGTGACAAAGCAACAGGCGTATCACCATCTAGGGAGTTTTGTATGTTAACCACATGTTTAGTGTCCTTGCTGGTATTTTGGTACATTTGATACTGAGTGTGTACTATGATATATATGTCTTAATTCATTATATAAACTTCAGATACACTGTATATTCTTATGCAAATAAATGTTTTAATCTGTCTGGCATTAACCAAACCCATTTAAGAAATTTGGTCTTAGAAACTTATAGCAAACCACCTAGTAAACACGTTACCCGTCTGTCGTTCAAACAAGTCCATGTGTCCACAGCATTATGTAATGCTCAAGAAAGGTTATGCACTGGATCTCATTCACGGAATTCAGTGCTACCAGAATACCTTAGTCCATGAAGCAGAACAGGATGAGTTTACCTGGAAACAGGTGTCCCTTTCTTTAGCACAGACTCTATTAAACAGTTGACCTCCGTATCCTTGCACATTCACAGAATATTTATTGGCGGATCATGTAGCTTAACATTCTAACCAATCCATCCGGGACACATGACAGCAGGTAATGTCCAACTTTATAAGTCCAATAAAATAACTCAAAATTCATAACATTTATCCTGTTGCTCTACGTACATTTTATTTCATCGTCTACATGCAACGTGTTATAATTTTCTGTTCTCGTTTTCTCTTTTTTGTCATTACATATGTCTTCCTAGCTGACCGTCATCACCAGCATACTGAGAATCAATTCAAATACCAACAAAAGTATCAAATAGAAAATAATACACACACTGAAAACAATATTAGAACATAATTTCTTCAGCTCGAAAAGAAATACTACAAACAGATTTTTTTTCTTAAAGACTCCCAATTTTATTGTGCAATCTGTAGTATACGTTCAGCATAATGATATAGCAGTTGAGGTGGCTTGCGGATATACGCTCATTAGCGATGATCCATGGGCTATTGGTCGGAGACCAAATTGGCGAATGGGAAGAATTAGCTAGGATTTACATAATAGATTTAGAGCTACGTATACTGAAATCTGTTAGGCAGGTCGAAGGGGTGGTGTTTCTTCATTCTGCGAATTGATGGCGGCCTCGTGAGGCGGGATGCAAGGAGGTTGGGGTGTTTGCTGAGACGGGCGTTATATCTGGTGCTGAGACGACTAATTTCTTCTTTTACTGTTGGAATCTGAAGGTCACGGCTGATGATAGCGTTGGAAACATACCATGGGGCATCTGTTATCAGGCGGAGAACCTTTGATTGGAAGCGCTACAGTATTGCTTTGTTAGAGATGGAGGCAGAACCCCATAGATGGATACCATAAGTCCAGACTGGTTTCAGGATAATCTTGTAGATGAGTAGCTTGTTGCTGAGGTTGAGAGTGGATCTACGTCCTAGTAGCCAGTTGAATTTGAAAAGTAAGAGTCTTAGTTGCTTCCTCTTGGTGAAGATGTGATTGGTCCATGTGAGGTGATTGTCTAGGTGGAGTCCGAGGTATTTAACGTTTGATGCTTGGGGAAGAGATATTTTATTAATATATACTGGAGGACAGGGGAGTCTATGATTAGAGAAGGTGACATGAACGGACTTAAATTCATTGGCTTTCAGGCGCCAAATAGAGAGCCAGTTTTGAATGGAATTGAGAATTGTTTGAAGGATAAGGGAGGCGGTGACTGGGTTTGAGTCGGTTGCAAGTAATGCTGTGTCATCGGCAAAGGTTGCGATAGTGGTATTGATAGAGGTTGGGATGTCAGAGGTGTAGAGGAGGTAAAGGAGGGGGCCGAGGACGCTTCCTTTGGGGGACACCTGCATGAATCGGGAAAAGGTCAGAATAATTGTTGTCTACTTTGACACGGAAGTGTCTGTTAGATAACTAGGATTTGAGGAGTAGGAAGTAATTGAGGGGGAGAAACCGCCGCAGTTTGCACAAAAGGCCAGTATGCCAGACCTTATCGAAAGCTTGTGTTATGTCGAGGAAAGCTGCCGAGCAATACTGTTTAGTTTCTAGTGCTTCATGAATTTTGTTTACTATTCTGTGGGCTTGGTGGATGGTAGAGTGTCTTTGGCGAAATCCAAATTGTTGATCGGGGAGAATGTGAAGGGATTCGACTATAGAGAGTAGTCGATGGGAGAGGAGTTTCTCAAAGACTTTGGACAAAATGGGGAGAAGACTTATTGGGCGATAGGAGGTAGGGAGATGATGGGATTTACCAGGTTTAGGAATTAGGATTATTTGCGCAACTTTCCAATGGTCGGGAAAGAATCAGACACGGAGGGAAGCGTTGATAAAATGAGTGAGGTGTTCGATGCAGATTGGGGGTAGTTCTTGGAGGATTTTTCCAGTGATGAGGTCGTAGCCAGGAGAAGTTTTGTTGTTAAGTTTGATTATTGTTGATTGAATTTCTGATTGCCTGAAGGGTGGAGGAGTTGGGTCGAGTTGGTATGGAGAGAATAAGGAAGATACAAGTGAGGTTTCTTCTTCAGGGGAGGTGTTAGAGGGGTGAGGGTTGAAACAGTTGACAGGTGGGTGGCAAAGGTGTGAGCTTTTTCAACGTTGGAGCGTGCCCAGGAGCCTTGAGGAGTAATGATGGGGGTAGAAGGAAGAGAAGTGTGTTTGATTTTCTTGGTGGCTTTCCAGAGAGAATAGTCGGATGAGGCTGCGGGGGAGAGACGTTCCAGATAATACTGACAGTGGAGGTTGTTGTGATCAGAGATAAGTTGCTTTAGGTCTCGAGAGGCTTTGTTTAGAAGTGATTTGGTGATTGGTGAGCGGAAGCGGAGCCAAGCTTTGCGTAGTCGTTTTATCAAGTAGTTTTTGTTTGATTGTGAGGGGGAAACTAACGGTTTGAGGGGCAGGAGGGGATTCTGGAGTGGATGACCAGGCTGCTCTTTGAATTAGAGTAGTGAGGTTGTGGACTGCAGATTCTATGTCATCGGTAGTTTTAAGTGGTATATTTAGGGAAAGTTGTTCAGAGATGAGGAATCGGAAGTAGTCCCAGTTTGTGTTTTTGTTGAAGAGGCTGGGTTGTGGAGCACGAGAAATTGTTTCAAAGGATAATGAAATGAGGATGGGCGTGTGATCTGAAGAGAGATCGAAACAGGATTTGGCAGATAGGAGGGTGGGAGGAATGCCTTTGAAGACGCAGAAGTCGACCAGATCGGGCAGCTTGTTGTGGTCCGAGGGCCAGTATGTGGGTTCTCCGGTGGAAAGGTGGTCTAATTGTAGGAGCTCTATGGTTTTTAGGACTACGCGTCCGCGCGGCGATATGAGGCGGGAGCCCCAGATCGTATGCTTAGCGTTGTAGTCTCCTCCCGTTAGGAAGCGGGGACCAAGAGATGAGTAGAGGGATGAGAGGTGGTCTTGAGTGATAGTGTGCTTAGGAGGTAAGTAGACGGCTGATATTGCAAGGGGTCCAGAGGGTCCGTCAAGAGCAATGCTGGTTGCTTGGAGGTGTGCATGACAGTGGGGATTGAGGGGGTAGTGTGGAAGGGTAGATTTTATTAATATAGCTGTACCACCGCGGGCTGTTCCAGATGGGTGATTTGTATGGTAGGTGTAGTAATTAGGGATGCGGAAGTGACTTTTGGTAGTGAAGTGGGATTCAGAGATGAGGAGGACATCTATGTTGTGAGTGAGAAGGAACATTTGTAGTTCGTTTTTGTGTTGGCTTAGACCATTGGCATTCCAGACGGCTATGAGAAGGGAAGGGAGCATTACGTCAGCTTGGATATGACCGTAGTGAGGAGGGATAGCAGGGTTGATAGTTGGTCGAATAGGCCTTTCATTAGAGATTTCAGTTCAAGGATGTCATTGTTGGAGGAGGAGGATGAGGGAAGAGGTTGGGAGGGTGAGGGACACGATAGCGAGTGTGAGTCGTTACCTACGGGAGTAGGGGAGGGGAGATTTTGCTTGGTGGCTTGGGCGTAGGAGATATTGGGAAGTGTTGGAGTGGTGCGCTTAGGGAGAGTTGGGGGGGAATAGGACTTAGGACGGAGGGACGGGTAGGTTTTCTGCTGAAGTTCCTTGTATATTTGACAGCCTTTGTAATTGGCCGGATGATTGCCATTGCAGAGTACGCAACGGACATCATTAGATTTTTCCTTCCGTAAGCAGAGGGAAGTGAGATGGGGGCCGGCGCATTTTACGCATCTGGGTTTTTGGTGGCAAAAGTTTTTCGTGTGACCGTAACGTTGACATTTTGTGCATTGCGGGATGTCTCTTTTGGGGTTAGGGGCTTCAAATGAGATCCTGCATTGCTGAAGGTATTCTATGCTGAAAATGTCTTTGTTGTTGGGGGCAGGCTTTAGGTCAACAAAGAACATAGGAAGAGGATGCTTTGTGAGGCGATGTTTGATATTGTGAATGTTAGTTGCAGTGTGGCCTAGCTTCTCTAGTTCTGACTGGATGTCTGATGGATTGATAGAGTAGTGAAGATTTTTAAGGACTACACGATAGGAGCGATCTTCTTTTGGTTTAAAGGTGTGAAAGGTGGTATTCTTTTCCGCGAGGACTTTGACTATTGATCTGTATGCATCCGGGGAAGTGGGTTGAATGCGGACTTGGTTTTGGGCAAGGGCTTTGATTTCATATTGTTTTGGGGTGGTCTGATCAAGTAGTTGAAGAGGGGGGGGGATGACAGTGACATCACTTACATAAATGGGAGGAGGTTTAGGGATAGGTTCAGTATAAGATGATGAATTTGGCTCCATAGATTCATCGGAGGAAAGAGCTGTGAAGCGGTTTTGGGTAAGGGTGGGGTTCAACCAGTGTGAGTCGTCTTTATGAAGCTTTGCCTTACGTGAGGAGTCTTCTTGAGGCTTGAGTCCTCTTTTGGCGGAAACCTTTGTCCAGGAGTTGGTTCCCTGGAGAGGGGGTTGGTCCATTGTTGAAGCCGGTGAGGTGGTTGTCAGCTTTGGAGTGGTTGGTTCTATGATTGTGACTAGTAGTACTTGCGTAGCTGGATAGTTGAGTAGGCTTTTTTATGTTGTGAAACGCTTGAGGCGTTAAGATCGTAGAGAATGTTTCTACACAGGCACAACTGAATTGAAGTTTGAGTCACTGTACCGAGCGCAGCACCGAACGCACGTCTGCACCGCACGGCAGTAAGCAAGAGAATGACAAACACATGGAGTAGTTAGTTAGTTAGTTATTAGAGAGGGTGGGTTTCACCATGCACTTAGACCTGTAGTGGTCCATTGTGCTTCCCTCTATGATTTCTACCAGCCTCAATATCCTGCCGGTATTCGTGCTTACCATCAGTCCCGCCCAGCCAGCGAGACCGGCTCTACTGGCTGAGAAGTATCTATAATGCTTTCCCCATCTACCGGAGGTATTAGAGACTGCTGTTGGGCGGAAAACGTCCGCAATTTTGCTCAGTGACCTCCTTTGGAGGTATGAGGTTCTCTTGCGTGCCGTAAAGCTACGACACGGGACCCACGGCTTAAAGTCCCTCCCGGAGGACTTGTTCCCTGAATTTTTCCGACCTTAAAAATGCGACGACTTCTGCCGGGTATTTGAACCCGCATACTACGAGTCACGAGGTGGGAACGTTACCTCTAGACTGCGGAGGCCGCTAACAGTTGGAGTAACTATGGACGCTCCAACATCAGCAATTATATGTAAAGCGTACATGCAAAACCACGAACACAAACAAATATACACAATATTAATAAAACATCAAATAATCGGATGTACTCAATGGCATTCCAAAAGAAACAAAACAAACACAAACATACACAAGAAAGAAACACTGGCCGATTTCATTGAGCAGCAACCGACCATGAAAGTTGCCATTGCAAACTTAAAGCCGACATAAACAGTGACTCCTGCCATCAACATGAGCATAAAGCGTCAAGTATCAACCACTTAGTAAACAGATTAAACGTGTACCAATAAAAAGAAGCAAAAGAGAAAGAACTAAACATTATAAAAACACACCGCATAAAAACAATTATAACATGAAAAAATTACAAATTCTATGGGACCAAACTAAGTAGGTGCCTGCTATCCTTTTCACCAGAAGACGGAATTAGATCCGGTGATTGATATGACTCTTTCTAACGGACCCAACTGAGTAGGAGCATCCCCGCCTTTTCATTTGAGGGCGGAAACTGATCCAACGATTGAGCTTAGATTTTTCTAAGATATCCACCTGACGATCTATCGGACTACTCCTTAGCTGGGAAAGGGAATGCTATATTTTCGGCTGAAATAATAAATGATTTACAATGTCGAGACAGAAAGCTATTCAGAATTTAACACACAATATTCGGCACCATTTAGAAATGTGTTACAAGGACATGTGTTACACATGGGCAAATGCTCTAATTATAGGTTTCTTAGCGCCCATATCGTGGTTCATTTTGATAATGATGAAGACAAAATTAAGAGGTACTGAAAATTCAGAGAAAAAATTATCTTTATGTCCGTAATTTAACATTATTAGAATGCGTTTTAGGGAGGGAACCTCTTTCTTATCTGCTGCAGTGGCCTTCGATTATAAACATGCAGGAAAGAAAACGATAACAAATGGGGGCGGTGGAACTAATTGTTACTGCTTATAAACTTCTTCATCCTGCGGTGTTCACTTGCTTCAACGTTCTCTCGAAGTCGGACTAGTCAGAGATGAATCCAAAAGGAATTCAGGTAAATATTGAAGTTTTTCACGTTTGGGTTTATATCTTAGAATTGATTGTTTTGAATTTTAGAATAAACTGTAAATAATCAAATAAGAGTTATCTGGAAGTTATCGACTATGAACCAATATATGGGACCGTTCATGAATTTCCCTGGAAGGACACAGGAATCGAATAGTTTAGTCCTTGTCCGGTACGAGAGTGGAATCAGGCAAATCTGGAATATAAAGCGGTAACCAATATCCTACTTTCAGAAGAACTGGAACGGCTTCCTTTTCTGAACTTTCGTGATATCTCCTTATTCTCATGATTGTCATTCTACTGATTCAATCTGTTGAAGTGTGACATGGCGAATAGCAAATTCTATCAAAAGAATTTGAATGCTGATGACTCTCAGTCAATTTCACTCACAAAATCTGTGTAGATAACTCAGAGTCTGAAGCCTTGATAGCTTAGTAGGTGTGTAACGACGTGCTACCTGCTGGACGGCCAGGGTTCAAATCTCCTGAGAGGCAAATGACTTCCTTATCTACAACGTCCCGACGGGTTGCGGGCCCAAGCAACCTCCTATAAGGGAGGTGTCGGAATTTAAATGAGCATGGGCATGAATCTAGCGCTGAGTTCGAGAATGAGAGAGATGTATCTGCACTCCTACATGCGTCTTCATGATTTGGTTCCTAAGCAGTTAAACGCGGAATTGATTTCGCCTTTTATCTGACTTTTGGAATTTTTTGTCCCGTCTTTGTGCAACGCCATTCACTATTGTGTCTTCGTATTCCACCATGTTTCGACCTAACTGGCCATCTTCAGGTGTACAAGTTGTTATGTTAAGGATTCTGCTGCTAACTGTAATGTTTTATTTCCTCCTACTGTGGTTGCCTCTGGTTGTTTTCTGAAGGTAAACCACGTAAACACAATACCTGAGTCTGGGTCTCGTTTTACGACCGACGGTCAGTCGACCAGTCTGTCTTGGCATAAAGCACCCATCTGGGGCTTGCGGCCAGACTTTTATTACTCTTTGACAGTTACGGTCTTGTTCTTTTTTTCTGGGCGTCCTCTCTGACGAGAGGATGGGTCTGTCTTTTGTATATGCTGCTGACCCTTGCCAGCGCAGTCTATCTCCGGTCCGAGTCCCTTGAGACTCGCAGCCATATTTTACTGCCTCAGATTTGATACTTCCCTTTTCGTTGTCTCCTACTACTCGCAGGGTCACGGTGGAGGTATTCAAACCCGCCTCCACAGGGGTGTTCACTTAACGTTTTACACTACATATTTCGACCGATATGGTAATCATCAGGTGTTAAAAATTATGGTTGAGGAAACTGGTGTCTTCTGTATCGTTCCTTAAGGTTGTTAATATTGTGACGTGCTATATGACGTCCATCGCTGTGCAATGGCTGCAACGGGAACGCATACTTCCGCTACAACGAATACATGGAAAGTGTTGAGTTCTCACAGGGACGAATTGAATGGGAACAGCCCGTTGCGTGGGAATATCTGTGACAACGAATTTTTGAATCAGCGGGAATAATGTATTCCCGCGGTAACAAGCATAGAACACGTGAAAATGAACACGGGGAGAAGGTACTCTCTATTCCGTCCAGGACCAGGTTATAAAAATCCAGCTTCGAAGGGACCAGACAGTTTTACAGTTTACAGTTGAGTTTGAATTGAGTTTGTAATGAGTTTGTATTCGGCTCAAGCAGGAAGATCGATTAGACAAGGAGCCAAGACACTTGACGGAGGATAGCAGTGCAAGTGAACATCCGCAGACGTTAGAAGTGATAATGACTGTACTCGCTTGTGTAAAAGTGAGTGTTCAACAGACATATTCGCCAAATCCGAGACCTGCGTGATTTATTTGTTGCGTCACATAGCCAACACGCGACAATATACAATAATAATTATTATTATTATTTAACTTGCAAATGGGGTTTTACTCGGTATTACAATAAGACAGAACACAAAAATAACACACATTACACAAAATAACACACACGCTCAAACAAAATGCAAACATAAAAAACTAAACAAACAATAAAGGAGACACTACACACAGTGAGTACAATGCAGTGTTCTATGGATTGTCCAGTAATATGCATAGTAAAAATGGACCGAACAATTCAAACAGATACAAAGAACACACACAAGCAATTAGAAGTACAAACGGCAACTCAGGATATTCGAATCATATAGTAAATACTGAACACTCATATAGGAGTACAACTGACACTATGAAGGTTATAAAAATAGAGGAAAAAGGAAAATGTTTATACGATACTAGAAAAATGACATATAAAATGAGTAAAGATGGATTACACATGAATGATACATACATCGACACCTATAACCCAATATTCGATGTAATATAAGAATTAAACAACAGTTAGGAACATAAATACGTTATGAAAGATAGAACAACCTATCTCTGGAAGCATTCGAGAACAATATACGCAGCACAACACACAACGAGAAAGAACACAACCCAACAACTCAAACTCATATTCGCACCGAGGGGACATATGCATTCGAGAACAAGACACGCAGCACAACACAGAACAAGAGAGAACACAACCCACCAACTCAAAACTCATATCCACATCGAGGGAATTATGCTTTCGAGAACAAGACATGCAACACAACACACAGCGAGAGAGAACACAACACTCCAACCCAACTCATTTCCCCGTCGAGGGAAATATACGTTCGAGAACAAGATACTCAGCACAACACACAAGGAGAAAGAAGGCAACCCACCAACTCAAACTCATATCCGCATCGAGAGGACCTATGCATTCGAGAACAAGACACACAGCGCTACACGCAACAAGAGAGAACACAACCCACCAACTCAAAATCATATCCGCATCTAGGGAACAGGTGTTGTGCCCTGAAGGCCGACTCCCGGTAACACGTTAAAAATAGTATTTAATTTTTTTATTTTAGGGGAAAATGTTGGCTAGAATAGAATAAGTATTTTGGGAAATACTAGTAAGACGTATGAAAGAGAATGTAGAGAAGGGTTAAGAAACATCAAAGAATTTCTACGTATGGAGTTAGACGAACGTTGGTCCGTGAAGCGGGGATGTCCTGTCAGCATAATGACGTTGAAGGTATGTCGAAATGCTAGCTCTACAAAATGTACAGGGTTTGTCCGAAAAGTAATGTCATTGAGTCGATTAAAACATTTATGGATTAGATCGGTACAACACATTAAAAGGCTTCAAAATATTCTCCTTCTGAATCGATACATCGCTTCCAGCGAGACTTCCAGGCATCGAAGGCGTCATGGTAGGCCTCCTTCGTAATGTCCTTTAGAGCCTTGGTGCAAGCCTCTTTGACTTTGTCAACTGTCCCAAAATGATGTCCTTTCATGGTACTTTTCAAGTGCGGAAACAAAAAGAAGTCTGTCAGGACTGTCAGGACTGTAAGGCGGCTGGGGAACCATTGGCACCTTTGAATCAGTCAGGAAGCGGGTCACGAGGAAGGCGGTGTGAGCTGGCGCATTGTCATGGTGAACTTTCCAGTCGTCAGCGATGTCGGGCCGGATGAGATAAACCTTTCGTTTGAGTCTCTTTAGCACTTCCACGTAGACTTTGGCGTTGATGGTTGTACCATGTGGTACAAACTCACATTTTCGTCGGTGGTGCTTGTTGATAGCCATCCAGCGCGGGCTTCATCGTCGACCTCTTCACGGCTTTCTAAAAGGACCTTGTGCCACCGGTAGACCTGACATTCCGACAATCATCACCGAAGGCCGTCTTTATCATGGGAAAACTTTCCACTGCAGACTTGCCAAATTTCACTCAAAACTTGATGGCAGTCCTTTGTTCCCAGGAGCGCTGCATTGCGGCTTGCACGGGAGACAAAAACGAGTTTCACGGAAAAGCCTTTCGTCACTCTCAGGAAGTTCGGAGACGACTAAGCGACCGCGCGTTCATAAGCTGACTTCCCCCTCCACCGATCCCAACCGGTCTGAGCGCACTGCGACATATAGTCACTTCACAATAAAATCACTGACATTACTTTTCGGACAAACCCTGTACACTTGAATGATAGGGGAACGTTTGGAGGTAAAAGTGCTTAGCTAAATGGACTAGCTGTAAGGGGGCGTGTCCACCCCCAAGGATCCCAGCCAACGGAGCAAGCCACCTTGGGACAAAACGTCACTGTAGGCGGACTTGCACCCTCCGGAAAAGTAATAAGTTAGCAAAAATAAAGGTACATAACGAGGGGAGTAAATTAGTAACGGGACTATTCAAACAGTAGATTTAGGCAGTTGTAGCCGAAGGTTATGCTGGAAGAAGCATCGACTGGATGCTGGGAAACTCCATCCGTCTGCAGTCTCAACGCAAAGTAAGTGGAACTACTCTTAACGGCATTCTATTTAATTGTGATATTGTTAAAGTGTAACTCCTCCAATGGGACACGAGTTAGGAACGTTACGACAAGTGTACAGGGCGTAAGAGTGACTCATAGGAGGGATGCAGAGGTAGACATGTGTAATATAGAGACTGCAAAGGGTGTGTCTAGATGCAGGGAAGATCGCTGCAGGGATGTGTAAAGATATGTATGCAGGGGATGAGAGAGGTGTAGTGGAGATCAATGGATGAGTAGAATAGGGAAAAGAGGAGACTAGCGACCCGCAACTGGGTGGAAGGAAGGCAAAGATGAGGTTCAAAGAATCGCCTAGAAAGGTGTAATATGTAATCCGACACCAGTCGGCTCTCTATAATGTACATAGCTGTATACTGATTGTCTATAACCAATATAGGGTAGCATAGGCTGAGAATGTGGATTTCTGTTAATGTTATTTCCTCCCTTACCACATTTCGCATCTGCGCCATCCTGACAACCTCTGTGAACTGAACGCACCTAGCCAATGAAGCAACGGCCGTGGAGGTAATTTAACCGTTTTCTGAGCCCCACCCCCTGTTACGGCAGTACAATATGCATTCGAGAATAAGACACACAACACAACACGCAACAAGAGAGAACACAACCCACCAA